AAAATACCATTTCCTTCCTTGAGTCGTACATATTAGGCATTTTGTTCCAACAGTAGGAAAGCTGACCAAACAAGTAAACAAGCAAGAATCAATTTTCCATTTACTATGCTCTTCTCCCAGAACTAAAGGAAGCTTTTAGTCAGAATCTAAGTACAGTCTATCTTTTGCTTGTGTTAATTAAAAAAGGAATGCCATAGAGTTAGTACACATGGCCATGTAATAAATCTAAAAACTCTCCTTTCACAAGGCTTTTTGGTACGGAGGAATGTGATACTTTCCCTCAAGCATGAAAGTCACTTGGTAGAAGTAAATGTGAATCAGAATTCAGTAAAATGCTGCTTAGACCAAAAAGACCCATCACTCTGGCAGTCCTGGATTCTCTACCATGTTACTGAAACAGACTCCATTTTAAATCTATGTTTTGAGGACAACCATTATAATAGCGACTCAATGTCACTGTAAGATAACCTGTAGTCACTTATCCTACATGAGTATTTTAAATGAATTCATTAAGCAGCATTGTTTAATAAGAGTCTGGTCTTTTACTAAGAACAAAAGATAGACATATTGCTTGAATAGCAATTCGTAAGTCTGTCCTCTGAGAAATGGCCATAACAATTCACTATAGACAACTAAAACAGTGAAAGGAAAGAGTATGTAAAAGTTCTTACTCCATGAGTTCAGTCAGTTTTAATCACAGATATCTTGAATAACTTTCAACTATTCTTTTCCAAGAGCAGAGAATATTTTATATTTTATTTTTTAGCATTGTTGACTGTCATACACATAGGCAAATTATTGTTTAAAAGCTGCAATGGTTAAATTAAAAGAAAACTTATGATGTTAGATAGTCTGGCATTAACAGAATTGCAGCACATAGACTCCAAATACTGGCGGAAGTCTGTGATATTAGAAAGACAGAAAATTTATCTAGTTTTAGCAAATGTCAAATCAGCAGCTATTGCTTTTAAGATTAATAAAAGATATAATGGTTTCTAGATAGCCTCTAAATAGAGATTACTATGAATGGAGAAGTGATTTACCAACAGTCACCACAATGAGATTTCTTTAAAGGTTACAATCATCAGTTATTTAGCTGAAACACTGCTGAGAATGCCTGGTCATTTCTTGAATAATGCATAATGTTCATTGTAGAGTTGATCCATATTATAACAATACAGTTATTCCTAAAATAATAGGAAAAACTATCTGTTACCTTCCAATTGTTTAACATATCATTTCCATGAAGTAATTGACTTGGGACATATTACACACTGTCACCTGAATGTTCTTTCTGCAAGCATATCTTGGAATAATCTGTATACAATAGGACCACAAAACAAACTCATCAACCTTTATAGACTGTTACGAAAAAATGTGATGAATACTGCGTAGAGTAAAAGATCTTTCAAAAGCAGCAAATTAAAATGATTAAACTTCTATATAGTTGTGTAAGACAAATTTAAATTTAAGCTTTGAAGTTTAATTATTAACATGATCAACTCATCACATAAAAAATGTTGCCTACATAGTGTGAGTACTTTTCATATAAATTTCTAAATGCCTTTAGATTTATTCAAGAGACTGCTTGGAGGAGCACGAAGTATAATGTCTACTGTTTTTATTGTTGGATTAAGAACTGCACTTCACATGATGCTGCAGGTTATTTATATGAGCTTGTTTATCCATATGAACTTCTTCAAGGGCACAACATAGAAAACCTTAATAAATTAAAATGAATTTCTTTTGATGTTGTTATTTCATGAATGTTTGATCAGAATGAGGAGCAGTTTTGCATTAAAGAACTGCAGTAATAAATTGTACATATATTGTACAGCAGAACCTGTTTATAGAAAGTACCTACTCCATTCACAGCAGCATTTGAGACCCAAGATAAAGCAGTATGTAGTCACTAAGCTCACATCTTCTGTTCTAACACATTGCCAGCTTACTAATACTGATAGTGTACATGTACCAACATAGGCGCTCTACTATCACCTGGTTGGAATTTTATAATTAATAAAATCCATGATCACTTTGCAGGCTACTAAACACCAATCACAAATTCTTGCTTTTGTCAATAACCCCAGACCATTTCATAGACTACAACACAGGGAGCTGAAGCCCTACTTTCTCTTCTTATTCAGCTTACCCATTACATAGTTACAGAATTGAGTTGATTGAAGGCCTCCAAGTAAAAACGAGTTATTATTCCAAGTCTAAAGCTTAGAAAATTTTCACCTAGAATGTCTGACGATGGTGATATAAAGCAAATGTCTCTTATATAAATGACATGATGTGACTGACATACAGAACACCAGATAGAAAGGAAAGGATGCTTATCTTGTGTCTGCTAACTCTTAATTGTCAAGAATTGATCTGTAAAATACAGGAAAGTCATATGTGATGAAAAAGTTTGTATCTGTAAAAGTCTATGACGCTAAACACAATCTGGACTATCACACAAGAGAAAAATGAAGACACAATGGAGCCATCACTTTTTTCTACTCTAGTTTCTCCATCATTACCAGGAAAGCCTACTCACTAGAAATTCCTTTCAAAATGGATCTAAAGGATAATCATGTTCAACAAATTAATACAACTCTAGTCTGTCAATTTATTTCAAAGTGAATAGTAATATTTTTACACTGACATTTTTCTAACATATTGAACTTATTTTTTCAACTTGCATGATTTAGAATAAGCAGTTATACAGTCTATGCCTTAGAGTGAAAAAATAAATCTAATGTATATTTATTAGAATTATATTCATTCATCTTATTTTGGGAAAATTCACTCCTACTTTAATAACTAGAACATCTACTAGTTTTTACCAAGTTGATATCCACATTCTCAAGGGAAAAGGGCTGTAAAAGAACAGTAAGAATGTGCATTCATTTATTTGTTGTGGGTTATCTCACATTTGTGTCCTGTTCTTGAGAGGTACCTCTGCTGTATGTCCTCCTCAACCTTTCAACATCAGATACTCTAGAGCAATGGTCTGCCAACTATTGCCTATGTGTCAAATTCAGTGGCTGCTACATGTCTCATAAATACTATTTTCTACAAACACAACCATATTATTTCATTTACATATTATCTATGTCTGACCGCATGCTATACAGCCCTAACAGATTCCTAAGCCTCAAATATTTGCTACATGGCATGTATTAGCTTTCCCCTCACTGATCTACAGCACCTGACAGTCACAATTTAAAGAAAAAAGGTTTTCATTACATTTTTAGGAGATTCAGTACATGGTCAGCTGGCCTTAAGGCAGACACCTCATGGTAGAAGGGGGTCAAAGTTGTTTAGTTCATAGTGGCCAGAAGCAGAACAGGAAAACAGCACCAACGAAGTACCAGCAAAGCAGGAACCATATACGGAAGGTCATGTTTCCATGCCACACCCAAACACACCCAGGAGTGCGCCTTATTAATCTGCTAGGCATTTCATAGTACAGTGAAGTTGACACATCAGGATTAACAGTTACATGGCCCTTTACAGAATTCTCAACCACTGCTCTACATGAAAATAACCTTTTACAATTTAAATTTTAATTTGCCTCCCCCCAAAAGCATAATATCATCCTTAAGTAAACACAGGTTGAATATCCTTTATCTGAAATGCTTGGTACTAGAAGTGTTACAGATTTCAGATTCTGGGATATTTACATATAAATAATGAGATGTCTTGGGGATGGGGCCCAAGTCTAAACCAAAAACTTATTTATGTTTCACATATACTCTTTACACACAGCCTGAAGATAATTCTATAGAGCAGTTTTTAGTAATTTTGTGCATAAATCATAGAGTCAAGGTATGGAATTTTCTAGTTGTGGCATCAAGTCTGTGCTTAAAAAAATATGGAGCATATCAATATAGGATTTTCATATTAGGGACGCTCAATCTGTAAAAGATTTACACATGCAGGTACACATATATGATCACAACTCCTAGCATGGAATTGCAAATAATCAATGCTTTGATCTCTCAGTTTCATCAAAATTCTATAAAAGATGATAGCCCCCTACCAAGTACACTTTTCTACAACAACCAAGACTGCTAAGACTTTTCTAAAGTGGTCAGCAAGGTGTAATCACATAACTAAAGAATCTCATTCACCTCAGAGGAAGTCATGGGCAGCTCCCACAGCTCCTTACAATGACCATTTTTATTCTATTCTCATCAAAGACCTAGATAGAAGGTAGGGACATAAAAATCTAAGAGATCCCTAGGTCATACTCTTTGAATAACACAGGCTTACAGACAGAAAATCAATGGCCAACACCACATATACGTCAACAAATATGTGCGTGCATATTCAAACTCTTAAAATACCATAAGCTGCTATTAGGAGTTTCAGGAACACACTAGAAAACACCTGTCCTGAGTATCAGAGTAAAGAGGCTTAGCTTTTGGAAAATAGTAACTTTAAGGAATAACTACATCAAGAATTTGAAGAACAAACACATATTTATATCTATAACTTTAAGGCATTATATATATACAGAGACATGCAACATTAATACATCAATTGATTTTTGTGGCCAATAAAATCAGTAACTCAAAAAGGCCTGCTCAAGCTGGACTCTGCTTTCTCATGCTCTTTGCTAACTTAAGGCAGAAGCTATTAGATCCACAGATTGGCAAACATTCTCATACTCCACCCATCAAGAACAATTTACACATATTTCTATGATATAAATTAAACCCAGAAGCACTTTAATATATAAATCATTTCTTTTTCAATTCTGTGAAATCCTCTATAAAGTAACAGAATGTGTAGGCTGATAGACTTTTTGAAAATAAAATAGAAATAGAAGAGGTTTATTTCACCTTCACATGGTGTCTTTCTCATGCAGAGTTCAGATTTCCACAATTGTATCCCTTTAAAGGATTTGATATGCAGGAAAAGAAGAAAGGACGATGGTAAACATTTCATCTTAGAGAGACCTACAGACCACCACATTCCAGACTGAACAGTGGTCTAAAACTTACCTTTTACTGATGTGTTGGGGGGAGGGCCTTCCATTCGCAAGTTCCAAGGAGGGTCCCCCTGATTAGCAAAGTCCCGCATTTTCAAATAGCTAATTGTAAGTCGAATGATGGACGCCTTGTCAAGCTGGCTGGTGATGGCTGCAGGGAGAGGCAACAACTTGGCCAATTCATAGAACTCAAAATTTTCTTTTCCCCGGCGGGAACGAGCAGCATCTCGAGACTTCTCTTTTCTCAATGCTTGTAAACTGAAATCAAAGGAGTAGAAAAGTGTCATTTAGGATAAACAATTCTGTCACCAAACTGAAACTGCTTTCTTTTTATTTCCTTTTTTCCTCATCAAAAAATCTACCGAAAACTACTTAAAAATCAGAGTACCATAGGAAAATGAGTTTCAGGCAATGTCATTTAAAACATTCTACCTCTGGTCTCTTGTCACCAACTCAAGTCCAGTGAGTAAAAATAGCATTTTCCATGTTAGATTTGCTTTTTTCCTTCCAATTGTCTGTGCATTGAGATATAATCATTGTTCCTAAGACACAGCATAAATTTAAAGGTGAGGCAATTTAAAAGACTGGACTTATATTCATATACCTGCTTTCAAGCTAATTATTTGGTTCATTAAACTTTCATCAACAAGGGATCTTAAACCATCAAAAGGAAACATTTTGAAAAAAAATATTTCAATTATGATCTTGGGGAACAAAAGGTAAGCACAAACGCAATTCATTTTGACAGAATCAACAAATATAATGTTGATATGTTTCCAGCCTTCAGTAAGGATCATGACACCTTCAGTCAGATGAAGAAAACATCACACTGAAAATAAAGGTTTTAATGCAACTCCAGAGATATGCTGATATCTGGTGGATAAGAGAATTCTATAATTCCTTTTGAATGGACATATATTAGTAGACAGATAAATTCTCTAAGATACTAAAGAACACTCTCCACCAAAGTCAAACTTTAGGGTAACATAATATGAATGTTGTAAGATAAAGCCCTGTCTGTGTTATTAAAATTTATATACATTATAGACATATTGCTTCACAGAAGAGGCAACAGGTGGGATCCAGTATTTCCTTTAACTATTCATGCGCATTTCTGCTGGAAGTATGCTCACATTACTGAGGGCAGACTCTGGCACAAGTGAAGTTGTGCATGGGCATCTGACAGGAGATTTCCACCTCCTCTGTACCACATCACTTCTTGTCTGATGAGAAATGCATTCTGAATCAGGCTCCAATAAATAACTGGGTAATATTTACAATACCAAGGCATTAATGAAATAAGTCAAACTATCCAAATTATTGAACTCTGAAAGCATTGTACATCTTTGCATCTAGCATTCTGGCTTCCCATATAATAAGAAAGAGAGAAAGAGGGAAATAAATGAGCCCAGGAGAATAGATTAAAATGGGTTTGGCAGTGTGGTTACACTCTCTAATAATATACTATGGAGAATAATATTGCATATTTCATTACTGAACCCCTCATATCCTTCACAGAGGAAACTGCATTCACTACAGATACCCAAAATACCTTACTGAATATATGTATAATTTAAGAAATGCCAAATGCTCTAGGTAAGATAATTGCTCAATTAATATCCCAACAAGGACACCATGCTTATTCTATTGATAAAATCTTTTATACCAGCTAACTATATATATATATATATCAATACTAGATAAGTAAATGCTATATTTTCAGAGTCAAAGCAGTCTCAGATGACAAACCTTTGTCCCTTGCTATGACTGGTAATAGAAAACCTCAGGTAAAAATCTGGCTAATAATATACTAATAAAAGAAAGGTTATGTCACTTACTTCCCAGTATTTTAGTCTTCATTTGATTGTATAAATAATTTTTTAGCCTCACATAAATTATGTGAGTAAAGTGAGATATGTCTTCAGATATGACAAAGTATAACCAGGACATAAGTTAATATCTTAGATAAGCAAAAGAATCTCAGGTCTCCTTTTGTAAAATAATCTATCAATAATCAAGTTAGCTATGCCAAAAGAATTATGTTTTTTGGCGTGTTTTCTCCACTTGTACACAGGGGATGTACAGTGGTTCAAGTTCAGTGCTTTGTTTTATTCCTGTTGTAATCCAATACTACTTCAAAGGGTGTGATAAAGGTTTACTTTTTCTGCTCCACTAAATGACTATGATGGTGTTCTAGAGCAGAGGTCTCAAGGGCCTTTAAGGTCAAGCATGAGGAGGGCTGAAGGAGACTGGGAAACTGGAGACCTCCTCTGCAAAGGGACAGTGCACAGTTCCACCTGATCACTGTCTTGGGGAAGGATTGTCTGGTATTACCAGGTTTCCAGCACTGTAATTTCTGGAGAAGAAAACATGAATTTTTATATTACAATTTCCATTCTTAGAATGTTCACTAATTAAACATCTTAAAAATTATGAAATCCAAATAAAACATGTCATAGTTAAATATGGGTCAAGGACTCATTTCACAACTAGGTAATGTGGTGGGGTGGAGTTTTAAATGTAGTTTTGCATGAATATTATATGTAAATTCCCTTTATATATGTCACTTAAATGATCGTGAATAAACTCATTCATTTCCTAATTAATATTTCTAACATTTTTATCAGGAAATTCTCTATGCAACTAGAGCAAAGTAGATTTAGCCATTACTCTGAAATTGATATTAATGCATATGGTTTTCAATAAACTGAAGGAAAAATTAATCCTCATAGGAGCCAGCAACACTGGGGGAGGGACGGGGTAAGGAAAAGTTCACTGAGTACTCAGGAGCTCTCGGGTGCTATTTATTACAAGGCAACGTAACCATAGATAACAACTGAGTATTTCACATTTTAAAATGCTAGAAGAAAGTATTTTGAAAGTTTTCAACAAAAAGAAATTATAAATATTGGAGGACATAAAAGCTAAACTTATTTAAATGTTATGCAACATACTCACACACATTCAATATTTCATTGTACATTAGTATGTACAACTTCTATGTTTCTGTGTATCAGTTAAAAACAATAAAAACAGTTTAATTTGAAAAGAAAAAAAATCCTCATGAAAAGCTAAAGCCTAAGATCACAGAAATCAATCCAATAGGCTCCAAAAACATAGATGGGAGGTAGCTTTTCTACATCCACTTGAGGTAGAGGGATAAACAGACCTGAGCACTTCTGGATGCCTTACCCAAATATCATACTTTACTGACTCTTCTAAAATAGTCTTGGGCAGTGCTCATTTTATGTGCACCTATCATAGCTCTTTGTTGTACTCTCTTCCACCCGCTTCCCTCTTTTTCAACTCCAATATACACTCTATCACCCTACTAGAGTAATCTTCTTGGCCAGAATCTTAATAAAAAAATGGTTTCCATGACTCCCACATCACTTCATTATGCAAACACCATAGTTCAGAAGACTTTCGGAATGACATCCCTGTGTCTGTAATAAGTAGTAATTGGTTTGGAGGGGGACAGCAATAAAATACAGTCAAAGGATTATAAAAGTGGTTGAGAAGCTGGTATAATAGATGAAGCTAAAGACCTTAAGACAGTAATACAGATTGTGGATTAATCTTTTGCTTGCTTTTGTAAAGTAGAGCATACTTATAAGCAATTCTCAAATTGAATTAAGGACTACATTAAAACCTAAAATAAACTTTATATTTGTATGGTCTATTCTAAACCAAAAAATTGTGGTTGACTTTCTACAACACTAAAAAGGAATGGGTTGGTTGTACATGAATTAAATGTTATAGCACCAATTTCTGACATCTAAAATATGATTAAACTTCAGGTGCTTAATTAGTTACTTCCCGGGCCTGACCTCCCACTGATCTAATATCCATTTAGATGTTGGATAGCAGTGAAAAAGGAGATTTCATTCTTCCTTAGCAAAGAGAGTAGAAATATCAGCTCTTTGATGACCATATTATTATCCTCAACTACAATTATCATCAACAACAAAAAAACCAAATAATTTCAAAAGACATACACACATATTCATATACATATATAATTTCTCTAGATATCATTTACAAAATTACACGTGTAAGTGTGTATATTTTGGGAGAGACAGTAAATGATTTTCAGATTCTCAGAGTCCACAGTGCTCTCCATTACACTATGGAGCCAATTTTCAGATTCTCAGTGGTCACTCATTATATTAACCAAAAAGGTAATAATCTAATATCTACAATATCCTCTAATAGGAACATAGAATGCGAAGCTACACTGCCTAGGTGTAAATTCTGGTTCTATTATTTACTAATTATGTAAAGTCAAGCAAGTTGTTTAACTTATATTGCCTCAGTTTTTCTTGTCTGCAAAATGGGATTATAACTTTATAAAGTTATAACTGTATAAATAATGCTTTTTAAAATATTTACAACAGTGAGTGACATATAGTAATAAGACATGGTAAATAAAAACTTTCACATCACTAGTTATATTCTTTAAATGTCAGAATACTCATTTATAATGTATATTCTATTATCTCTAACATGATTCCTATTCACTGGTTCATACATATCACATTGTATACTCATATAAAACTCCTTTATTAATAAGATATTCATTTTTCTTATTACTATAATTTTACTCATGATATAACCATTATGTATCACAAGTGTAGTTAATGAATTATAAAATATAAATCTAATCACTGAATGTTTAAAAGTTTATATAAGTAATTTTTTCTTACAGTATAATAGCCATTTTACTACATCAATCCATAAAATGGCATTCACTTGCAGGAAGAGCATTTGCTCACATTGTAAAAAACAGCAACATAAGTTAAGAGATTCCTTACTTGGGAAGATTGTGAAACATCTACGGGGACTTTTAAAATGGACATGGTAATTATTAGTAAGAAAGAGTACATGTGTACTTTTAGATGATCTTTCAAACATCTTCCAAAAATCACCAATCTAAAAGTTCTTTTGGAAGTCAGGCAAAGCCCAGATCCAGGACCATGGAGAGCTCATCAGGTCATCTGGTGCCAAGGGAAGTATAAAAGTTTGATATCATCTGCCCCTCAGCTACCACATGGAAGGCAAGGCCAGATCTTAAAACTCTTCTTAAGCAAGAAACCAGCAAACTAAAACAACAAAAACAAAGAGCTGAAGGAGGGAATTTCCTGCACATAAAGTCAATATTGTGAAACTGATATTGAAGTCTCTGTGACTCTCTCGTGCAACTGGAGAAAGGTGTCAATTTTGGCTTTTATTACTCATTAAATTAAAACGAGTTAGTT